ACACATATGTGTGATAGCAACTAAAAGAGAATTGTAATCTTGGTATATATATGACATTCCATATTTTTTATTTTCTGTAAACATGTTGAAAAGATGAAAATAAATATTGCATAGAAGTTAAGAATTTAATCTCGAAATTGATAATGGCTTGGATCCGATCTGAATAAAATAATGAAATTTTTGTATATTTCCTCATATATATTTTTCTGCGGAGATATATAATAAACAATTAGTGCATCCCAAGAATTATTGCGTCATGTTCTAAATAATACTTTATAGGAAGATAAGTCGTTATGGCATGAGAAGTTATTCCATCACATGTACGAACGACTGATTTGTCAATAATAAGTCATTATCACCATCATTAACAACGTTTACTGCGTGTAACATTAAGCCGCAAGCTGCGCATAGCCATAGCACGGCTGAAATGTCGTTGTACTGGGCGTTGAAGTTGTCCAGTGACTGAAGTTGCCCAATGAGTTGGAGCTTCATCATATTCTGCATTGGTTAACACAACGACGAGTACACCTAGCACCTATGATAACAAGTCACCGTATCAATTTTTCGTCTGTTGGATAGAGTTACCCGAAGAAAAAAGTAAAAAAAAAAAATATTAAATACTTCATTTAATTATTATTTCACAAAAGATGGATGATTTTTAGATTCATTTCATTAGTTTACATACCAAACCAACGATGATCAGCAACGTATACACATGCATACTTGCGAGTGGCAATGACTCGACTTCTTTTAATGCAGCGGCAGCATCGGAGAGATCCGGTTTTAACTCCAGTGCGTGACGCAAGTGTACAGCTGCTTCTTGAAAATGTCCATATGCCTGTGAAATAAAAGTGCATTTAATATTAAATTTTATACTGGCACATTTTTGGGATTTCAATGGATAAACATCACTTTTATTCATTTCCTTTCATTCATTTATTTTACTGTTTATTGAAATTGTCACCAAAGAAAAGAGTTGTTAATCTTTATTATAATTAATAAAATATTTTGTGGATGTTTATTAAAAATCTCAAGATGTTGGAATTTTAATGAATGTATTTTACATAGGTATACCTAAAATGATTGTCCATATACCTTAAATATTTGACCAAGTGTAAGATATTGCTCCCACGCATTGCGATCTGGAGGTTGCAATTCTAAAGATCGTCTGGCTAAATACGTTGCATCATCTAAGTAATGTTGTACCAACAATACTCTAGCCAAATTTAAGAGTACTTCTGCGTTATGTGGCGATACAGCGAGTGCTCTACGGAAGCACTCAATCGATCTTTGTGCATCACCCTTTATACGCCAGAAGTTTCCTATCTGATTATACAACTGGACAGATTTTGGTTTCTAGAATGAAAGAAAAAGTTATATGAAAGAGTTATATTATATAAAACCTTAATTGCATTTGTATATATGTAAAGATATATAAAGATAATTTATCTAGAAAATATAAATATTATGATTACGATAAAATAGTTCCGTTTTTTTGCTTAACAAAAAAAATAAAATTGGAATTTTTGGCAATTTCATAATATAGTACTTAATTAAGTGCATGCTTTTTTCACTGATAACTAAAACCAATATATACTAAATGCTTTGAAATATGTACCTCTTGTTTTGCTTTCTTTAAGCGTCTTTCGAGCAAATCAATGTCAACAGTTTTGTCTCCATTCTTCTTGAACATGAGTGCTACATTAGGTTCTGGTATCAATGGATGCTTGTCTCTGTTGGTCACGCCGATCAGATTATCATAGTAAGTAAAATTCACTGGCTTGCCACAGTCCAATATTATGTTGTCACATTGCTGACCAGAGCCGCACGTCTGTTCGTTTGACACTTGTGAGGACAACAGGAAGGACTCGCTGATATTTTGCTTATCCTTCAACACGTACGACGGAAGCCCACTGCCAAGGGGACCAAAGTTAGGGCTGTTAACACTGAATGAACAGCAAGCCACACACAAAATGCTAACTACAGAAAGAAAAAGAAAATTATGTCACATAAATGGTATCATTTGTGTATATGATAGAAACAAAAAAAAAAGAACTAAACGCATGCAGGTAGACTGTAACATAATATGAACTTAATTGCAAAAAGACTATGCGATTCTGGCTTTCTTAAATAATCAAGACATAGCTTACTAAACTTTTCTTTTAGCATATAAAAGTGTCCAGCGTATAACAAATTTATAATAAATGTGATATCGCAATGCGACGATAGAAAGTAGGAAAAAACGAAAGAATCGAGGGCACAAGCTGTAACTTCATAACCTAATAGAGCGATCCTAAGCAGGTAGCTGCATGGCTGGATTTTTACCTCTCTTGGCTGACGAAACCTTTGCATTCTTGACAGTACAGCTGCACGTTCTCGTGTTTCTCGGGCGTCGCGGTCCTACTCCAGGTCTGGCCGTTGCCGGTTACCACGCTGCCCGAGAGAATGTCGAAGATCGGGTCGTCTTCGATCGCGATTACGAAGTCGGTCGTTTTCACGACCTTGTCAGCGGCATTCAGTCGCCAGGATGTCCGTGAATTCGTCAGTCTTATCTGCAGGATTAGCAGGCAAAGCGCGTATCTCCCTTCGAACCATGTCAGTCGCATTTTTCCCGAGGCTTCCTCCGCGCGCGTTCGAATTGTTTACAGTTTACAATCTCGCGATCGTGAGTGAGAGAGAAAGAGAAGAGACACTGATGCAGTTGGGGTGGAAGGGGAAGGAAATGGCGAAGAGGAAAGGGAGAGGAGAGATCGAATAAGTGCAACTAAAATAGAAGAAAACAGGTTTCGGGACGATATATTAATTTTGAGAGTTCATAAAAATTAGCTCAAATTACTCATTCATGTATTTATGATTGCATCATGGATACAATTATTCATGTAATGTACTTTTGATATAGTCAAAGCTCTTTTGACTGCTTCTGACCGAACGATGGAAGTCAAATATACATATCGAATATGAGTGGAAAACGAAAGCGGGAGATTTTAAAATAGAGTTCAGCCCCGAGAATTCTAAAATAGAAAAATCCGAGCAAGGAAATCAATTAGATAATTATAACTAATTGCATTTAAGGTGATTTCTAAACAATTATTAAATATTTACAATATTAAATTTAATTTCTTGGGTATTAAAAAAATAATTTAATAAATAAAATGTTACGTATATATGATTTTTTATATGCACATGTTTATTAGCGTAAAAGATTATATTTCATTCTCCTTTTCTTCTCTAATAAATTAGTGATATTCAATATGTTCACGAATGCTTCATCTTAAGATTATTAGATATTTTAATAGTCCTTTTGCGATTATTAATTTATTTATATGAGCCGCTTTTTTGAAAGTGGTATAATTAAGTTCAATTAAAAAAAATGAGTTAATGTTAGTTTCAGTTATATAAAAATTCTATGTTTAAAATTAGCATTAATTCATTTTTCTTTAAATTAGACTTATACCACTTTAAAAAAAGGGCTCGTATAACGACGAGAACATCGAATTCTTGTACGTATAATGATTAAGTCTTGGATTTTTCAATGAATTTGGGTATCAAGCTAAATAAATTTTTTTGTATAATTGTTGAATATTTTACATATATTTCTGATTCTCAGATTAAAAATTTTAGTTAAAAAAAAGTTTGGTTTCATTTTTCTTCTAGCATTGTGCTCCGAACTTAGATGACCATTTATTCTTCACTCGTTTCAACACTTCATTCGCTCTATTAAATACTTACATAGGATTAACATTACATTATGAACTTTCATAATATACCTGGTTTTTTGTATCATGGTAAAATATGTTGCTTACACTCAGACTCTTTTTTTCATTGACTTAAAGATTAATTCATTTCAGAATAATAGAAAATATATAATTGCGGAATATGCCATTTTCTTAGAAAATAACTAAGTTTAACAAATGTTTTTTTGCTGATGTTGGGGCGAGAACGAAAGAAAACGAATCATATGGAATATTAGAAAATTATAATATAACATAAAATTCTAGCAAGGCAATAATTTAAAATGTATAGAAATGTATAGAAATATCAATATATATAAATTGATCACTTTTACGCAAATCCGATAAAAATTGATAGATTTCCTCGATATCAATTTATTCAAAAATTAGAACGTTTCGGTTCTTTTTGAACCTTCCTCAGCTAATACAATTATTCAATCATCAATTCAACATACGTTAATCCTTGTTAGATATGTCACATCACATTGCTTGATGAGATGTTCCAATTCTAAAAATATTTTAATTAAAAAAATTAACGTATGTTGAATTGATGATTGAATAATTGTATTAGTTGAGGAAGGTTCAAAAAGAACCGAAACGTTCTAATTTTTGAATAAATTGATATCGAGGAAATTTATCAATTTTTATTGGATTTGTGGTAACAACAACAACGTCGTACTCTCATTTGCCCTTTGACAACTGAATTTTTGAAATTTCAAGAGTCCATAAGTAAACTTTATTGTTTGATCACTTTTAAACTTGCATCTGCAATCAAATTCACAAAACGAAGCATTACTTTCGATTATCTGTATAACGTTATTGTTACTAAATTACATTATTTAGAAGAAATCTCAATTACTCTTAAGAATTTCAAAAACATTTACAAAATATTTATATAATATTTACAGTGTAGATAAATTTTTAAATACTGCCGCTTTGTAAATAAAATGATAAATGCGTCTGTTTGTATCACAATTCCAATACAATAATATTAAGCGTTTGGATTTTTTGACATTAATTCTAAGTCTGAATCCATCATATCCTTTACGAGTTCCTGCAATATGTATGAATTGATATAATGTATTATATTTGGAAATATATATAGAGTATTATATTTTTGAGAATTATTCGAATTTTTTTAGATGTACAAAAATTACCTTAAACGTAACTGTTGGTTTCCATCCAAATTTGTTTCTTGCTTTTGATGCATCACCCAGAAGTACATCCTATTGAACAATAACAAAATTATTATAAATCTAAATTAATGTAAACTTACAATATAAAATTTAAATCCAATTCTCTATATTTCAGATATCTCACCACTTCGGTTGGGCGGAAGAATTTCGGATTTATGCGAACTAATACTTGATTGGTTTGTGCGTCTTGACCTATCTCATTCACACCTTCTCCTTGCCATTTAATTGTACGACCTACATATTGGAATGCCACTTCTACAAATTCCCTCACGCTATGTGTTTCTCCCGTCGCTATGACATAATCGTCTGGCTGTGTTTGTTGAAGCATCAACCACATTGCCTGCACATGACAGATTATATCCAGAAATGTAGACTAAGTTATAAACATAATGTAATAATGTAATAATCATGGAGTGTGTGTCACTTACTTCTACATAATCTTTTGCATGACCCCAATCTCGCTTTGCATCTAAATTTCCTAATTCGAGTACATCCTGTAAACCCAAATGTATTTTCGCTATAGATCTCGTCACCTTTCTTGTGACAAAATTTTCTCCTCTTCGCGGACTTTCATGATTAAACAATATACCATTGCATGCAAACATATTATATGCTTCTCTGTAATTTATGACTATCCAGAAGCTATATAATTTTGCACAAGCTAAAATTAGGGAAAAATGTATATATATATATATATATTATTTAATATAAATATAAAAGTTTAATATAAAGATAATTTAAAAATAAAAATTTGATTTAAAAGTATATGTTTTTCTCTTATTTTTACCATAGGGAGAACGTGGATAAAATGGTGTCTTTTCAGTTTGTGGAACTTCCATTACTTTGCCGTAAAGTTCAGATGTTGACGCATGATAAAATTTTACAGATTTTTCTAAGCCACATGTACGTATCGCGTCCAATATTCTTACTGTTCCTACTGCATCTACTTCAGCAGTATATTCGCTTACCTCAAAGCTTACCTATCGTAATATAAAATAACACATCACATAATTTTCGCTTTATTTAATATAAAAACGTATTTGTATTGATTAATGTATTGTATAAGTATGTATTATATTATATAATCATATACATAATACACACCATAACATGACTTTGTGCTGCGAGATTATAAATTTCTGTCGGCTGTATCGCGCTAATGACTTTGATTAGGCTACTGGAGTCCGTCATGTCACCGTAATGTAGCTTCATTTTGCCTTGTCGATGACACTTCGGATCTTCATAAAGATGTTGAATACGTGTGGTGTTAAATGAACTAGCCCGTCTGATGATGCCATGTACATCGTATCCTTTTTCCAGTAAGAATTCTGCCAAGTAAGAACCATCCTACAATAATAAAAGAAAACTGAAGATACAAATCTCTGTTATGTCAAAGGTAGTTGCATAACGAATACAAGGTAATTAAAATGACACATCTATATATAATAACATTTCTGCCAATGTAAATTTAATTTTAGTTAAATTAATATTTTATCCTCATTTAGTTTTAAAGATTAGGAAAAGATAAAGAGATAATTAAACTCTCTCTCTGAGGTTAAAATTAATCTACATTGATAAAAATATGAGCAGAAATTAAATTGATATTTTCTTCAAATTTAATTACTGCAGTTTCAGCTTAACGTTCCACTTAACGTTCGCAACGCTCGCGAGTATCATTTTGACTTTCTTGTAATCGAATATTAAATAAGCATCCAATATGTATTTTGTGTTAACAGAAAGATAAACTGAAATTAATTAATTACCTGTCCGGTGATACCAGTTATTAGAGCAACACGTCTATTATCGCCAGTTGCCATATTGAATATTACACAAGCATGTAACACACGTTCTTTAACAAACAAATGAAGTTAATTAAAAGGAATTGTGAATGTTTTGAATTAGTGACATAAATCGACGCACAGCACTGAACGACACTTGTGTCAACGTGTCATCAAATGGGAAACACCTAAGTTATCATCTGTGCCACAATCAAAGCCATTGATGTTGATAATGTTTATCAAACACTGAGTTATATATAGATTAATAGAAAAATCCAGTGTTTTTAATATAAATATTTGTCTTTTTTTTCTCTCTCTTACGACTTCCACTCTTTCTATTTTCGTTTTTTTTTTTACAATTGTCTCTTCTTTTTCCTGCTTATTTATAAATATAAATATCCTTCACATTGAATTCGCATTTTATGCTATTTGTGAGTCAAAAGGGGAACATTAAAAATTAATTGTTAATAAATTGTAGATATATATATATATATATATATTATTTTCTCAGCATTAATTTTCTGAATTTTCTCTTTCTGTCTTCCAAACACATCTTAATCCTGTCTGAATTGATACAATGTGACACAAATATTTAGAATTTTTCCAATTTTTCATAAAGTTTTGTATGGTATTCACCAAAAAGAAGCTCAGTCCAGAGCAGTCCAGAATCTAGAGAATTGGAGACTCTGGATCTGGACTTCTGGAGTAGAATGAACGTAAATTGGAATAAATAGGTGTAGGCATAGAATTCGTCTACTGGCGCCTCTATGTACTACAAAGCATGCACATTGAACTATATAGCCACAAATATTTTCAACGAGTTAATCTAATTTTAATATAATTTAAATTGTTATAAATTTTAATTAAATACATATGTGTATGTATTTGTGTAAAAAAATTTTTAGATTGGTAACAATTAAGTTAAAGTATCAGTGATCAATTATTTTAACTAGAATATAATGTCAAAGAGTGAAAAGAAAGCGTTCAATATAGATGCTATCAAGAATACTTGATAAATTGATAAAATATATATCTAAAAATCTGCCTCTAGGATTTTGTTTGTAAAGAAATGACATAAAATGTAATTAAACAATGAAACGTTGCATTTAATATATATTTTTATTATAATTTATTTTTGATCAAAGAATTATATAAAGAAAACGGTCCCATACAGCATCACATTTTTTAGAAATATCTCAAAAATATTTCAACTGTAAAGTGAAACGTTTCATAAAAATTACGAAATATGTCTGCAACATTTCTGAGACAGCTTTGGAATAGCAAAATGTAGCAAGAATCGTCCGCGATTTTTGCACATGAAACTTTCTTTTTGAAATATTTTACCAAAAGATTTTAGTTATTTTTTCTAGTGCTTAAAAAATGATACTTAAATATATATTTAATTTTAAATTTATTGTGTCGACATAATAAATTTAAAGTTGTTTAAGTATCAATTAAACATAATATTTAAATATTATTTCTGAAGTACACTTAAAATTTATTAAAAATTTTATGAACTGTTACAGATTACAAAACATATTGAAATAAACTTAAAGTATTTCTAAAAAAAAGGTAATTATATATACTGCCAACTATTTCGATTAATTAATAATATTATATGTCTTTTCTGAATTGCTGCATATAAAATGTGGAAAGAGAGGTTGAAACATTTCTGAAAATTTTCCGCAACAATGGATGTTGTATGGGGTGTCCGTTCTTTTGTCAATTATTACGGGAACTTTTTGAGAACTTTAACATATCTTTTTTGTTTTCTCTTTAAGTCTTCATTTATTCGAAATGCAAAATTTATTCTTTAGACGCTAAAGGGTTATCGCCGTGTTTTGATCCATTATTAAAGTTAATTTTTGTGAACCTTGTTCATTTCATCAGGACAAAGAGCGCATTGATATGATGATAATCCACAAACTTTTTCAGAGCTTTTACGGATATTTTCTTCAGAAGTGCCTATTTGGTACTTGTGAGGAAAACACCCGTGAAAGCCTCAAAAGTATACGTATTAACAAACTATTTGTTGCGCTTTTCACTTTTTCAGCAAATATAGATATAATTGCTACATAACATATATTGAGTGTCCCGGTTTTAATTTGACATCGAAATATCTCAATCGAAAAATCTCGAAAATTATAAAAGTTACGGAAAAATGTTTCAGACAAAAGTTGTAGGTCTAAAAAGGTCTATTTACTGATAATATATCCGTTTGATATTGAATGGTACAGCCAAAAGGTCAGGACGAGATCACTTTGAATTTTTTAAATTTCAATAATGTTGTATGTATTAGTCTGTATTAAGGTATTCCTTAGGATAAAATAATAAAACGTTTCACAATAAATAGAACTAGTTATATACTATATAATTCGTGAATACATATATAATATAATCTAAGAATGGAAAATTTGGTTTTTGGTTCCAAAATGAATCTTCTTATTTAACATTGCTGCACTGATATGCCAAGATGTTCTATTGATGTCATATTATAGAAACTATTTGTAAAAGTATATAAAAATGAAGCTATATTTGCGACTCTCGCGTGGACTTCTGTAGGATGTTGTCGATGCTGAACATCGTCATTTTGGTGATACGTCCTGAAGAATGTATACGTTCGGTTTCGGTATCTTTCGTCATGACGTTTTCTTCATTTGTTTCAATGATCTCTCGTTGTTCCTCTTGATGTTTCGTCGAATTGGATAAGAATTCGGTTGATACCTGCAATTATATCAGAACCGCTTCAATAGTGTTATAAAAAATGCTTCATTAGTGAAGTTGCATTCTAGCTTGAATATCTATAATATAGATACGACGCATTCATTCCGGAAAACTAGCTTCAGACTCTCTTCTCAGACTCATGTTGAGATACACGATACAAAGGGAGGGAGATCATCGTGTCTCAAAGAGTCAAGAAGTAGTAATTACACTAATTACATAGAACTCTCTTTCGCGAAAGGCTAAAGTTTAATTCATATTGTACCGATAATCCTTTCGGTCGTCCATCATGAGCGGGTATCCTCTGTCGTCTCGATCTCCTGCGTCTGTAATTGCCATGCTCGAACATCTCGTTGGCGGACGGGTCCAGGGTCCAGTAACTTCCCTTTCCGGCTGTGTGATCCTCGTCCGTGCTCGTTCGGTCTCGCGGTACCTTCACGAAGCAGTCGTTCAGGCTGAGGTTGTGCCGTATGCTGTTCTGCCAGCCCTGCCGGTTCTCCCTGTAGTAGGGAAACCTGTCCATGATAAACTTGTAGATCCCGGCGAGCGTCAACCGTCGCTTCGGCGACGAGTTGATCGCCATCGCTATCAGGGCGATGTAGGAGTACGGTGGCTTTTCATGATGCGGCGTGATCTTATAGCCGATCGGCGGTCTCGCCAGGATCGGCCAGGCTGCCAATGATGTTTGGCAGAAGGCTGGCCAGGCGATGTCGGCACGCAGCACCTCCGGTGCGACCAAACTGGCGAGTCCGTACGCACGTTTTACGGGGAACATTTTGTCAATCGGAAAGATGTACCAGTACTCTTGACACCGAGCACGTAGACCGCACGCTTGATCCTTCGCGTCCGCGAAGAGACCATGGACCTGAGGACAACTGCTCCGTTGCATCGAGAATACTTCCTCGACGGTCCAGAATGAAAAGCGCGTCGTTTATGCAGATCGTCAAAGTGTTAGGAGACTTTCAATATCACTCTGTGCTTTTGCGTTATCCTTTCTTTTCTCGACAATGGAAATGGTTCCGCCGGGATGTTCTGTCGCGACGCACCCGGAATGAGCCGTGAAATTAAAATTACATCACGTCCTCACCGTCCCTTCTTTTCTCACGATGAAAACTGAAAAGCACCGTTCGAATTTCACTGTGTATTCCCGCGGGAGGAATTGATGAGTCACAGATGTAATCGTCACACTGCGGTGTAACCGAGGGGAGAGAATGCGCGAAGCACCCTGTCGATCAGGGCGAGGACTCGCCAGAGACTTCGTTGCATCCAGTTGCCCTAACGAAGGAGATTTGTTTAATTTTTGACACTGGAGGAATCTAGAGGTTGGCTCAACCCCGCCCATCGGTGGTTTTCCAGGGAACTCCCGTTTACGCTCTCGTGGGGAGGAGATTACCTATCCGGGACCGCACTACGTGTTTTATTGCTGTTTACACATATGCTGTTTCAACACCCACGCCGGCAGTAACTGCGCCAATATATAAACAGTGTTGCGATAATTATATCGGGGCCAAACGGTTTCTCGGAACGGTCTTTTCCTCCTAGTTGGTCCTTCCTTACGATCGATGCAAAAGCTCGCAGCAGTGGTAAGAAAAAAGAAGAGAGCAGAAGTCAGGCACCGAAAGTTGCTTCTAACTTTCTCACAAGATCAATTTTTCGATCGATGTCAATTGAACATCATTTAGTAACGTCTACACTCCTCTCTATCTTGGGGGGGATCTCCTTTCTTTAACATTAATAAGTCAGTGATAAGTTAATTGCATATATAAATCTGGTAAGAATTAATGAATGAGTATATATATTGAAAGAAGACAAAACTCATAATGTATAGACTTATAATATATAGATTCTACAAATATATTTAATTTAACGTGTGATTATGATAATGTGATCGGAATTATTTTCTGAATGGATAGATAAATAGTGTGATTATTAAAAACTTTTTCTCTTTCTCTTAAAAATTTTATTGAAAGGCGACTGAATATATATATATAATTATATCAATTACATTCACTTAAGTACAAAATGAAATCGTCAAATCAGGTTTCTCTTTTCTTCCTATGTATGCATTCTTCGTCAAATCTTGTAATATTTTCTCCTGGGCTGCCGGATTGTCCCTCGGTACCTGTGCATACGTTTTGAACAAATGTTATTCAGATATATTATATTTAAATATACATTTGTGAGTATTACCAAATTATAAAAAAACAATCGATAGATGTAATTTAAAATAATAAAAAAAAATATTAATATTTGTTAACACAACATTTTGGATTGTGAATATTTTTTAATCCAACTAAAACTAAACTACAATAATGTTTACATATTCGTATACCAAAAACACCTGCTACTACGAAATCTTTTTTGTATAAATTACGGAAGCAATCAAATCGGACGATGTAATAAATTAACGGATGTAAGATGAACACTGCGTATACCGATCTAGGATTCTCCTTGTAACAAATTAGTCTCGGGGCTATCGCTCGCGGCTTATAATAAATATGAAAGCTAAGGGGGAAGAGAGAAAGTGCCTTGTATGTGCGTACCATATGTCCGGCTCTGTTGACCCAATACATCCTGAAGTTTCCTTGAGCCTTGAAATAGCCCTCGACGATGGATTCAACGATGAGCGGATACCTATTTGAGTTTTTCCAGGTGCCGGCGTGTTTCCATTTCAGCTTTTCGACCCACTGAAGAGTGCCTAAAATATACATACCTACATGATATATCATAAAGACTTATATAGTAAGAAGACAGTAGAAAAACAGTGTAATGGAATAATGACATGTAATATGAACTGGATGGTGATAGTTAGGGATAACACAAGTATAATCGAAAAACTAGTGGTTTTATGAAACAAATACGTGAATGATGTTAAAAACGCATGTACGAGGATTTATGTTATCATATAAATTACAAAATGAAACCTAATAATGTCTTAAGTTAGCTTAAAGCTTAGATAGTTTTCAACATAAATGCTATTAAAACGCAAAAGAAAAAAAATAAGAATTCAATCTATTAAAAAAAATTTGATGTTGTCCAAGTGATCTTATTACTAAAATATGTATTAATATCGTATGAATAACAATAAATGATAGAAAAATTTCTTTTAATTATGTTTTTAATAATATGCCGCACTATTAAAATATTTATTAAATGTAAAGAATAGAAAAATTTAATAAAATAATGCATTAGAAAACAAATTTAATTTATTACTAAGAAAACTGTTTTGTTCTGTAAAAATTTTCCTATGACAACTAAAATTTTATTAAAATATACCAAATAAACATTTTTGGTTAAATTTACCAAACATAACTATAATTTTACCTGATATATTTAAATTTTTTAGTTAGTATAAACAAATATTTTTGTTATTAGAGCAAAAAAATTATTTTGTAAAAGCAATTAAATTTTTTGTTATATAAATAAAATATTTAATTGTTGTTAAAAAATGCTTTAACTATATAAATAGTTTTGCTGAAAGCATTAAATGTTTTTCTCCTAGTATAAATATTATAATACTCTCCTCTCTTTACCTGGTGTATCGACAATTAAATCCAAGTGTCCATTGTACACAAATACGTTCAAGTCGGTTTCATTAAGTAACGCTTCCACTAAAATAATCACATTTATATTTATTTAGTAACTCATCATATTATAAATTCTAATTATATGCGGAGTAATAATTCTTTACGTCATAAACTAATTTAATTTAAAGCGAATGTATTAGAATGCATCGCAGCAGTTAGTTTACATATTTATGCAATATATAAACATTTTTTTTATTTTATAAACTTATCAAAACATTCAAAATTGCTTCGACAATTTCTTTTATGCTTACAAATTGCCCAACTTTTACATTCGCTATTATGCATGGAAATAACTATCTCCATCAATCAACACCAATTTCTTCCTTTCGCTTTCGCTACAATGACATTCTGTCGATACACTTGACTGATACCTATGTGAGTAACAGGTTTCATAAAATCTTCTCGTAAGTACCAAAAAACGTCAGAGGATTGACTACCATGAATAGATTCAATACCGAGCGTTTCCTTTACTGGACCGTTCATCAAATTTTCGAGTGAGATAGAAGACTCTCTCTCATTGAGATTTAGATATAGAAACATGATGGCTGCAATTACAAAGAAAAAAATGCACAGTGACATATAATAGTAATAATAATAATAATAATAATAATAAAGACATTCTGACAAAGAAGGAATATTAAAAATGGAAATCAAAATTTCGTTATTTAATGTAATTTTGTAAAATAATGATATTATATATTATTTACCAGATATGTTATTACTAAGTAAGAACGGTGTTCGAAGCAAATCTCCTGACGGAAATTTCTTTGTAAGAATATTGTAAAAGTCAATATTGTAAGTCCTCCGTAAAATGACCATTTGTGTAATAGCCCACTGTTGAGTTGCACTTAACCAATCGCCAAGCTCACTACAGTCCTTCACTTTTTGTACTGCAGCTTCAATTTCTTTAGAACCTTCTGTGTCTATCATACCCTACGAATCATGTGATAGTTTCCGAAAAAGAGATTATGAATTTGATTTCAATAAATAAAACTCAATAAATAAAAGAAATTTTTTTCGTACATGATTCAATAGCATTGATAAAGAAGAACGACAAGAAAAGAAGTTGATGTTATTGGATCTCGAGATTTGAGATTTGTGTATTAGTTTTTTTTTCTTTTTTGACAATATTATTTATCATTTTCAATTTTTCATTCAATTGCTTTGTAAAAGATTTATTTCATTGATAAATTATGAGCTCACACAGACATTACAAGGATAAGTAATCCTACTTATTGTTATACTTACAGTATTGAGCAAAAATGGTGCCCATGTCGTTACAGTGTCGATTGGAGAGATCCAAGAGTCTCCAAGTGCGATTCCTTTTAGATTACTCTTGATGGTACCAGCTTTCTGAGCCTGCAGAACACTCATATTACTTAGGCACGTGAATTTCACAGTCTTTTATAAGAAATATAAGTTACTTTATCATATTCAGTAAACTGTTATACGATGTCATTATCGTTACTATCATTTTCGTGGACATCATCTATAATTTTCTAAATTATTAGACGATGACTATGTATAAATATTATATTGCTTTGCATGTACAGAATGTTTTCTTATCATCATTAACTTAAACTTTTCGTATGATTTTTGACAATCCGATAGTGCATCGTAAAAAGAAACTGTTTATTTTAAAGGAAAACAGATCTTACAATTAATACCTTTTGTTACACTTTTTTCAGAATTCAATATCTCTGTTTCTTTTAATGAAACCAAGTTTTTTTTTCGAATTAGCATGTTTAAATTTCTTACTCGGTACCAGAGTAATGCAAACTCCGCGCCCATTTTTCCGCCATACGATTCAGTTAGGATATACGTCGGAACGTTTTCAAAGTTTGGTAATTCCTTATAAAATCCTCGCATACATTCCACGAGGTCCTTTGCAATTTGCGTGTTCGTCTGCGCATATGCCCAATTATTTTCCACGTAACTGTATCCGGTACCAACAGGATTGTCGATAAAGAGAACATTATAGTTCTTGACCTACATAAATTATACATCAACAGTTATTCACTAAAAATTAAAAATCTATAATAAATTTATTCGAGTGATTTTATGAACCAATTTTTCAAAAATTATATACATCTTTGTACCATTTTTACTGTACAATTTTGCTTGTATGTAAAATTGTTTCTTTTTCCCTTTAGTTACATCACCAATAAACCAACATTTTAACAAAGTCTTTTCAAGAATCAAATATTTATTAATTACGCACGCTACTTGATGTTGTGCCCGATTGCAACAAGATCTACTCTACTTTCGCATAATTTAATACCCAAGTGTAATTCCTCGGATTCAGATTCACATCGAGGGGACCCAATTCCTCGAAATTTCCATAACTTGTTGAAGATGCGCCTGGTCCTCCTTGCAACCAGATGAGTAAAGGTTTGTCGTAATAGGAATTAACTTTTGATGTAGTATAGTAAAGCCACCAGAACATATTCGCGTTGGGGCGCACTTGAACGTAATTCCATTCTTGTTCCCCAGGGCCAAATCCATCTCTTCCTTTTGACAAAAATTTTTTTAATATTAATAAAGAGATAATTAATTAATTGTGTCAACATCTTCTGTTAGTCTTCTTCTTTCATCATTATTCGTTTAGAAAAAATTTGTTAGAAAAAAATCAAAAAATTAAACAGTAGCCCTTCATGGTCATACTTCAAAAGTCATACGATGGTTACTCTGAGTCAAAATAACCCGAACCATTTTAAAGAGTGTAAACAAATTAATAGTATTAGTTCCATTGACTTAAAATAGGTAATTACAGTATATACATAATTTTAATTTTAAATTTATATAATATTTTTAAATTTTAGTTTTAGAGCAATACTCTTGCGACGATTTACATTATGCTTATTTTGATCCACGATGACCATAAAGGAGTAAAATAATACAATATGTATCAGCAAATCATCTTCCAAGAAAACGTAAACTTTAGGAGGTAATTTTTTAATAATTTAAATACATGATGTAATATTTGTGATATATTGGATTGGATATCATATTAATTTTCTGCACCGATCTTTACGACGAGGCGACTCAGCTATTAACAATGATTCGAAAGTCGGCGACGCAAAGACGAGTAGCTGAAACGGCATGTATTTGTCAAGCAAAGGCCTAGGTAAATTTGCAAAGTTTTAAAAGAAATCGTAGAGTAAACGTTTCCGCGTCACTATGGTAAAAGCTAGAAATGCAATGGTTGAGCATTTTAACGTTTACTCATACCAAAATTCGGCAAACTCGGGGTGAATACAAACATGTAGGAACATACAACGAATTCTTAAAAATTAACAGTTTAATCTATGCCGCTGCATTCTAAGAGTTCAAGGGAGAAAAATAAATATTTTATAAATTTTATATTTTATTCTAAAAATACCTTATTTAAAAGATAACACAGCGAGTTGGGGTACATTATATTGTAGTATTATCTATATTATATGTTTCAAAAAATGAAAAACTAAAATCAATTTGAAATATAATACTACACTCTTATTAATGCAAATCTAAAACATAATATTAATTAAGCGATTAATTATTTATCTTTCAAGATCACTGAACATTACATGTTATATTTTTATTCATGGAGATTTAAAGAACATATGTATGCGAACAGCAATATATTTTTAAATAATATTGCAACTTCTCAATAAGATATTTTTAAGGTTGTGACGCAAAAAACTGAAACAAATAAAAGGTAAATAGTAAATAAATCAATTGTTTAAGTTTACTTTATATCTTTATATGTATATTATGGCTGATTATCTCACTACTTACTGGTTACTATCACACATTTTTTTGTGTGCTATAGTTTTTAGACACATTCGTGAATGTAACATTTTTGTTATTTTTACTCAAGAAATAATTGTTTGTTAAAAAGTTACCGTCTAAATTTTATAAACCTAAAAAACAGTTATAATTTGTATTGGATTTATATCGACAAGAATAAATCAGTTAACAGAAATAAATTAAGAAACAAATAAATATATGAATATGTATGAATTTATTCTGAAATATTTAAGTACTAAAATACGTTTTGACCAAAAATAGGTTTCTTTTCTCGATGATTTAAAAACTAGATATGTACACAATTAATGTGTTCTCACACATTTCCAAGAAATTCATTTTCAAAAATAGGATCTTAGCTTATGTTTGTAAGTTGCTGCATTATCACGTAATGTGAATGTAACTATGTGACTAAATTTATTATATCGAAGATTAACTCATCTTACCAATGCTGCTGGAAACAAAGCACAACACAGCAAAAGTATAAACAAGTGGAACTCGCATTGTTTTGTTTCTTGCAGTGAAATTTCGGAAACTAATTACTGCGAGTAATGCACACGATTTTATAGTCTTCTGTTTATCACGAATAGATTAGATCAGGCCTGTCAAAAACTCAGCTTGTGAGTCGAAAAGCTTCCACCTCTCCGAAGTCTTGGTAGAGTAAGATGGAGCATACGTAACAAAGGATTCATTCCTTACATTTCATCGTTACATTGGATACTGGCCAATACTGGCCGTATCGCGGACGACTGCCTGCAGGAGCGATAAAAGAAAGAAGAAGAAGAAGAAGAACAAAAGATCATAGATACCGGAATCAGGTTTGTCAAGGTTTGTCCAAGCCCAGTGTTGTGCAGTACAAGTATCTAGGTACTCCTAGACAATAAAAGTGTCTAAAATCGGGCCATAAAAAAGTTTTTTTTTGTGTTTAAAAGACGACTTAAAGACATTTTATGTCACAATTTTAAACTTTATGTTGTTTGGGTTGTAGCTATTTTAGGTACAAATTTCCGTACCTCTAGGTATACCGAGGTATCTTTTTGCCCTGGACCTACACTTATACTTATAAATACCATTTCTTGTGTACCGCTACCCACATTAAGTCGATCTGTTCTTTTTAGCTAAAGTTCTTGCACGATTCATTTTTTCTTTTTTTGTTTCCAACATGCAGAAAAAAGGAAGAGAGAACCGTGCAAGAAGATCAGCTAAAAAGAACCTATAGCTACATTTTTAATTTTGGATGATATACTTTTCTATATTAACAAGACGAATGTGTATTAGATACGTTTTAAGATCATTATATTTAAAAGATCAAATCAACACGATATTTTTGAATCCATTTATTACATCAAGTCATACAGAGTGTTACATGTGTTTTGTTATTTTGATTGTGATTTCTATCTCAACTTTATTTGATTTGATATTAAAAACCGTTACTTCAATTGTACTAACGATGACCTAAAAAATTAAATCGAAATGTTTACGATTTCCTTTTCATGCTTACAGCACGGAAGTTTGCAATATTGCTGCAACATGTTGCAACGCCGCTCGGACAGACCCGATTCAGGCGGAGCACTGACCTTTACTCTTTGTTTTTTACGCTTTGTCTACCGAGACTGTGCAGGTGGAGAGGTGGAAGAGTTTTGGTTTACGAGCCGAGTTTTGGACAAGCATGGATTATATACTTACGACAATCACAATTTATATCAGCATTTCATTAATAGGATGCTTCACATTCTCAATGTTTTCTTTATTCCAGCTTTGTCATCTTCAGTTAATCTTTGGACAAACGAAAAACTCATTAATCCGTACGATTTATATCTTTCATTGTTAACTTTACTATATTCATTGATTTTTGGCAAATAATAGACTGCGATCGGTTTCTCTGTTTACAATATATATATTGAATACTACGCAACTTTTATGCAGAATACTGATAAGCACAAAATTTTATAAATACTAATAAAGAATAATTTATTATTATTTATTACTTTAGGTTACAATTAAATTATATAAAAATTAATTATAAAAAAAAATTATACAACTAATTTTTAAACAGAAAGTGTTATACTTTGGGGATTTATTGCTGGATCAATTGAAAAAAATAACATCACAAAGTTAAACTGTTTAATCATCAAATTGTTAATTTTTTTCCTTCTATTTTTTATTATCAAAATAAATATAGAAATTTTTGTGAAAAATTCATTTTTCTTATATTTTAAAGTTTCTGTTCGATATTACCATGGTTCAATATTAAATATACATTCTACTATTCTCATTGTCAGATTAGTTTCCACATCTATTTGATTGCCTTGCTTTGAGTAAAACGCATTCTCTTACAAAGTATTCCACTTAAGTGATATCTGTAGATATTGAATTGAGAGATTCACACGTATTATATATACATGCATTAAACTTGATCCTATCTCTAATAGCGACTAGTACGTAATTCGCTGATTCAGAACCGATAGAAGGATTTAACATTCCGCGTATGGTACATATAAGCGCATCGACCACGGGAAATAGTTACGAAGGAGAAAGTAGCGCCGTCATCGTTCAAGCATTTGGCCGTATGCGATGATAAAAAGAAAAAAGAAAAAAAAAGAAAGAAAGGAAAAAGAGAAAGATTGAAGAAAAAAAAACTGTACGCATCAAGACGTGCGACGAAACGAGAAAACGCGAGATAAGCGAGAGAGAGGAGACACTTCTCTCTTTTCGTGTTTATTAATTTGATTATTTCGTTGCCGAAGTCGTCGACCCAAATTGACTTTCCTTGCTCGGACTTTAATGACGCTTGGAAAATTGTACGTCCGGAGAACGCGTAGGGAAGAGTCGTATCTTCCTGATAATTTCCGGGCAATAAAACGCGGCCACATTGCACCCGCGAAGAAAGCAATAGCATAAACTCGTTAAAGCGTTACATCATTATACAAAGGAAAAAAAAAAGAAAGAAAGAGAAAATCCGGATTCGAATCCTCGACTATATTTTTTACAATAAATTATTCAGTTTTTATAGATTTTTATTAGCATGAAATATTAATGTTCTTATAAGATGCCTATTAATAAGAAACCATTAAATTGCTTATCAATTTAATATGTAACATTACTGTTTTAGTTCTATTTAAATATTAAATCTCTTATTATATAGGATCGTACATGTGTGAAACACGACATAGGAAAATAATAATTTAGTATATATGTAATTTAGTATGTATATAATATATATATATATATATATATATATTAGATATATAAGGCTATAGAAGTCAACCACAGATTGTTATATATTGCGAAATTAATTTATTAAACAATAACTTACATGTCATTTATTTATGTTTTGACTCCAATTAGAGTCATCTTTAGCAAAGTTCCTGATTTAAAAACGGTCTATGTTCATAACGCAATTAATTTCGTAATATAATAATCTGCGGTTGACTTGAAGGAATCAATGTATACTTTGAAATGAGATGAAAATTACGAAAGTGAGCAAATCTATTTAAGCCTGTTTTCATATGTGGTTACCCAAAGATTAAAGATTACCAAAAGATTCATCAATTCATTTATAAATTTCTTGGTAAGCTTTAATTTCTAGATAACTAGATTGTGAAAATAGTGTTGACTAATTAAATTACGAATATTTTAATGCTTGCTTTTGTAATTTTCACCTCATTTTAAGGTATACAGTCGACCCGAAGATATTATAAGCCATTAGCCAATCATAGGTCGGTGTTTATAGTCAATTCTTATATTTAACTTTCTTAAATACTGGTTTAAGATGTCATGAACCAATCATCAAGAGCATGTATTAACATCTTAATTACTTAATACGGTCTTAAAATAAGCCCGGGCCATTAATGCGGCTTAAGATTCGAAAATAGGATTATTTCTTTTAATAAAAAGAGAGAAGGAGAAAGGATAGGTGAAATTATCGAATTTGCATGGAAATCAAATTAAGTCTCTCATTGCGAGAAATTCTCTTCCGTTCTCGGAGGGACTTTTGCGAAAGAGACGCGATCCATTCGCGCGTCACGAACACACGCACGCGTCCGCCAAATGTTACTAATTGACATTCGCACCACGTGCTTCGCCAAACGCACGCGCGATCCTCGCTGGTCTGTATACAGTATTCTTGACAGGTTTTTCGATCTATTACTACTCCGGAAATTATCGGCGAGGCATGAAAAGGTCGCGTAGACTCTCTCGATTCTGTCGAAATCGGGAACACGCGGGTATAGCACCGTGCCTTGCGTAGTCCATCTATTTATTCAGAACGACCGTTTGCACGGTTTAACATCGTAGTTACGTGGCCACTTACAAGTAAAACGCGAATGAAATCTGTACGTCGCGCGCGTACGTAATTTTTTTATTCGATCACAAGGAGGAAATCTATCCAACCGATATACCGAGCCAGAAGAGAACCTCGTGGATCTTTCGGCGCAACGAAATTGGCTCGTTAGTGGCCTAATTAAATATCGACAAGTGGTATCTAAGCAATTAATTAGGCAGATTCATAAACTACTACTGGATGTTCCGTACGGCCGAATCCAGGTAATAAAGAGATAATAGTATAATAATAGCCGACGGCAGGATGTAGATAGATGAAAGAAAGAGAGAGACGATAATGAGAAGCTCGATCAATGATCACTCATTCCTCCAGAAGAAGCTTGGTCCTCAATGTCGGCAGATCGTTACGGGAAATGCTTATAGCTTTCATTATGCAAATTAATAGCAGATAACGCTAATTGATGCACCGTGTCGTTCCGCTTGTCCCAAGCGGCTCTGTTTACAGCTGGTGGCCTCGCGCGTCTCATCTCGCGGCGTGCCAGAAGGCGTACGCGATTCGCGAAGATACGTATCCGGCCTAATCTGTACCCTCTCCCCCTCCGACTTGCGAGAATAAACAAACTATTAAAATTCGCCAGAAATACGTATGCTCGTACAGTGCGGCGGTCTGTTGAACGTGTCTGTTTTGCGCCTTAAGAACGGGGTGGAGTCCTCGCGGCGTGAAAGTCGCAAAGCTGTCTTATCTGTAAAAATATACATTATGTTAAATATATGTTATTATGTATACAAGATGTCATAAAACTGACGATAAATGTGTATTTTGAAGACAGATTCTTTGTAACGTTTCAAGACGTAAGACTTTTAATGCAAAAATGCCACGATAATTTTCACACACAAATACACAAATGAGAAGAATTAAAAAAATTGCGAATGACAGGACTAGAATTTCACTCGGGAACGGCAAGATAATGAGTGTGACAATACTCAATTTTATTATCGTCAAAGACGTGAAGTCCGAGGCTGTCATTTGAAATTTTTAAATTCTTCCCATTTGTGAACTATCGTAATCTTAGTATTTTTGGACTTTTATCTTAAAATGTTACAAAGAAATATTTTAAAACACATAATATATTGTGTGTGTGTGTGTGTATATATATATACATAATGGGTTACAGGAATTTCACTTTTATTCCTTATGTTCTCACATGTACTATAAGATTTAATATTGCATATATAATATAATATATATGTAAATGATATGTACAATATATATCTTCCTAGACAGGCTTCCTAGATGAAGCTAAATATTATCCATTTCGCACGCATGGGTAAGTACGAAATGCACGACGTCGCGAATCGCCGGAAGAGGAGAACTCCTCTTCCTCCATCATTACGATCAGAGAAATGGTCGCAATTAACGCGGTTGTATTTTGTTTTATCGCCCGGGAAATCTTAATGGAAGACAATCGTTAATGCGACCTCATTGGGTCACGGTTGGATGACGATGATATCGCCCTTTCGTTGCAGCCTGTGCGTAACTTTCCTTTTGACATAACGCGATTGCGACTCGATGGCATCAGAGAGATGTGATACGCGAGCGCAATTATGAAGTCGCTTCACGATTACCGTCGAGACCTATACGTACCCTGAAGAATTGCGGCAATCGGCCGTTGGCCAGGAAAGTCTGAAAGTCTCGATCTATGGCCCGAGTTTGCGCGCAATCGACGATCCAATACACCATGCTCTATATGATATCACGAATAATGCGAAACGTTATTCGTACGTAACGCCGCGGACTCTAGAGTTGTGTAACGTGCCAGCAGAATCACCCGCAGGAGAACCGTTAATGGATTTCGAATGAGGCAAAGTACCTGAGTTATATACTTCCTGGTGGGAGAGGTATATTTTTTCCATTTATTTTTATTATAACAGAATACTTCTCTTCGCTGTCGCGTAAGAAGTTGACGCGCTGTTTCTTAATATTGATAAATTATATGCGAGTCCAGTACTGATAAATTATAAGCGATGACGATGTGTCAATGCGTTCATATATAATAATATTTTACATTTTTATACGTACAGAACGAGCCGAGACTTTACGAGCGGCGCAGAGGTGAAATCTTTCACTAGGAACATCGACTTTTTCGTCGGCGAAAATTCACTCGACAAAGATGGTCTCGAAGTAAATCTCAATTAATATAAGTCGGTTGCTATCTCATCCGTAATGAATACAATCTTACATTATCCTCTCTACCGTGCAAATGATTACTACTGTGTATAAATGCGGAAAGAAAGCGAACGTACCGTGACGCCGGCTTTGCGAATTTCCTTGCGACAATGTACTACAAAAATGTACGGAAAGTAATCTTCATTAATTTATCTAAATAAATATCACTTAGATTAAAGGCATTTTGTATTTGGCGCACTTTTCCTTCTTTATAGTTCCTGGAAGAGAATTGATGTATCGGGAGTTCAAGCCAGTTCAAGCTGCCATATTTGACGAGGAATTACCGTTCAATATTTGTGTTCGCTTATCATCAGCTCTATGTATTTTAAAAGGCTTTAAACAAATTGGACAACACACTCGAGACTCGTCCCAATCGTACGGTCTGCCGTGTATTCTCGAGACACAGTGAAAGTAACCGAATCGATTATCTCCTTGAAGACAAAAAAAGTCGAAAAGACAGCTGCTACTGACATCGTATCGAAAGAAAGTCAAAGTAATTCCGTCGTGCGGCCCGGGTGACGACTCTCACAGTTTCTCGCTTCGTCGCGTCTCTCCTGCGCATGACGAAAAAAAAAAAAAAAATCGAAGATACTCCTTGCTTGCGGCGAGCTTCTAAATTAAAATGAGTCTCAGGAGATAATTGTGCGTACATAAAGAAAAGAATATTTCTATTAATTTGGCAGATTTCTAATTTAATTTGATTTAATTCAATTTAATTTAGTTTGACTAATTGACTTTCTCACAATTACAAGTCTCGACAAGAACTTCCTTATATGCTTTCGATTTGTTCCTTCATGTGGAATTATCACTCGTTTACACAATCGTTTATACAACATCATACCATCGATTACAGAACACCCTGTACCGGATAATCGCGGTTCTGCTTCCTGCTCGTCTAACGTCAACGCAACCGGCGCATCTCCCGGGAGGAACACGCCGTGTTGGTGAAAGGCAGTCACGTTGCATGCTCTTCGCAGGAGCGACAGTAACCCTGAGGAAGAAAGTCAGAGTGAGACTCCGCAGGTGGTGAACGCGAGCGTGAGCGCGCGAACCTGGCGCAGGCGAAATTGTTCTCACGTGCATTACGAAACCGCGCTTTTCCGTGTTGCTGCATCGTGAGACGCACCACCACGCCGATGCGAGATGAGAAAGGCATTTCTCCGTCTCCTCCTCGTCGCGAGATCTGGGAATGGAGATTGTCCAAGTTTTTTTTGTATGCGATTTGCCAGATACCGGCGTTAATTCATCCGCAGATGACTGAAGCGAGTATCTCGTTGATTACGTTGCTCAACGAGTTGTAGATTGTTATCGAGGTTACGATTACACTTCATGGGATAATAGGTATTTATTTGTTATCCCAAGGAGTTTCCGAGTTGAAAATAAAAAGTTGCCTGAGAAAATTGTTTTGACACGCGTAGAAGTAATATTGCTTTCTTCGAGACAAACAATGTAATGAGAAAGTCCATTCTCCCTTGCGATCGTTTAAAAGACCCCGATAATAATTAACGAGAAAGTCATTACCGATTGTACGTCGCATGTCATCGGACACTGACCGGTTATATATATAACCGCTTACGTTCGCTCTTATTATACTTGTTCAGACAAATTTAACAGGTAATTACAGAAAGGAGATTTCGTTGGATTAATCAGCCTCACTAATAAATCTTATTAAAAATCTTGGAAACACTATTTTATAAAAAAAATTATATAAAAACTTTATGCAAGTATAATACTAAAGTATTCTTTATGTTAATCATATCATTTTAAATCGATTGTACGTAAACGAGAGAAGTAAAGAGAGCGATTTTTATATCCCAAAAAATCCGGAAAAAAGATATTTTATATTAAAATTCATTGAATTGCATTACGTTTCGTCCTACTGCCTTGTCGCCCCGCATTCGCTATGAAGCATGAATCCCCTCTCGGTTGAAGATGTACACGCAGAGTTGGGACCCCCATATAGCACCGTAGCTCTCTTTGTACCCCTCCTCGAAATCTGTATGTCTATAGAATTCTAGGCGTCTAGGCAGAGGAACACTCGCTATAAAAGCCACGTATGTCACGATGAATCCGTCAGAAGAGTGACGAACCGTAAAAAAACACGGTGGTCGTTGCCATCCTTTTCATACGGTGGGCCACCCTGGTCGAGAGAATGCGATTAATTCTGGTCAGTGTTCATCGCCGCTCATTGTCTCGTGCTTTCATTCTTCGCATCTTAATCATTGTGTCAGTGCGTCTGTGATATATGTGAGATTTTTCGAACGGAAAGTGACGGCATTATCGGTAATATCGCTCGCGATAATCATAGGTCATTTTAGATTTGCGGTTAATGACACCGCATCGCGCGACATGATTATCTCTTTAGCGACAGCTTCAGTGAAATGTGGAACCGCAGTGCTTTTTTAGGATACGTATATCGCAAATTATAATCTAAGCTCTTTGATTAATTAGCGATTGGACACACTTGGTGGGCACTAATGCACGTTAAGCCATCGCGTGTGTACAAGTTGACATAAAGATATGTGTTTATTATAAATATAGAAACCGGTTAAATCGTGAAATATTCAATACATTTTATTGTGCTGTTAGGTAAAATATGTATCTCATAATTCAAAGTATTTGCATTTCACTTTTACATTCATACTAAATCAGTGTACAACGGTTATAATGCACGTCAGTACTCACTATAATGCGTTCAATTAAATTCATCCAGCGTAGGTCGAAAGATTTTATTAGGTTCTTATACTTCTAGCGCTTATTTTTGTATATTATAATATTCTTCTAAAATATGTTTTACTGAAGAAATTTATTTTATATTTTATTTTACTTATTTTTTTTAAATATATACTTATAAACAATGTACAATATTTTAAATAGTCTTTATCTGAACATTTTAACGTTAAATTATCCCATAATTAAAAGAGGAATATATACAACATACTAGAATCATTAAAAAGCAAGCGATGTTGCATGATTACAACTAAAATTACATCGTGAAGTTGATATCAGGTCATTATATCGTGGAAACCTACAAAACTTTCTGCATTTCATGGAAGCGGTTTACTGATAAATGCCACGTGGTAATTTATTTTTATGTCAACGCCGAAAGAGTACAGAAATATTGGATACGGCGACCTTAAAGCCATCGAGACAGTAGTGCGGTTAACGTAAATGGTTACAACGAGCCGGTAAATCACTGCCATTTTCAAATGGCAATTGCTATAAGTGGGCATTCCTGTCACTTTTCACTCCGCGCGGAATGGAAAGTTGTGTAAATAGGAGCTGCATTGGAACTACACGATCTACATGGAATGTCACAAAATTCAACAGGGTCACCGAACGTTATAAAGTCGAGTAGCCAAGTCTCTCTCATTGTCATTGATATATTCCATTTGAAATGCCTTATTCTCATTGTTTGAATTAATTTCTTTTGTTACAGTTCCTTAATATTGTATGTCGTGGTCTTAATATAATATTCAAATATCTTATATGACAAGATTTGAAAATATTTTATCTTGGATATATATATAAGTTTTCTTATGGTTTGAACTGCGAATGATATTATAGATATCAACGTATTATATTAATTGTAGTTTTTTATTACACGATTAAAGAATTAGCTGAAATATGTATGAACAAATTTTCTTTTATTTGAGATATAAAAATTAAAAAAAAAACAAACTGCGCACCGTCTACAGCGCTAATTCTCAATTGTCTGTTTATATTTTGTTTATTTTTTAAGTTCGTTACCTTAGAAATTTGATTCAATACTTGTTACTTATAAAAGTATTTAATTAGAGCAGCGATATACAGATAACGTTTATCTGATTTCTCTCGTAGACAAGCGGAAACATAGCTATAGTTTGCACTGACTACTTACTTAAAGACGATAGAGATAAAATGTGTTAATCAGCATGTAATTTCACATGCCAATGTCAATGCAGAATAAGATAATATATATAGGTATGTAAAGTGATCGTGTAAAGCCGGATTGAAATGAAAGTAAGCCAAGGTTATTGTTAATTTGTAGATAATAGTGAACAATTATTATTGTTTTACAATTATTATTATGTTAATCTGAGAAAAGGTGAATCTATGGCATTTGATCAGTATAATGATACGTAATTACTAAAATTTTTACTGAAACGCGTTACATCAATATCCGACACAAGCGAAATAAAAAGTAACAGAGGCTTGCAATTTTTTCATTTCGACATTTCATGACGCGACAGATTTTTCGATAAATACTCAGTTATTGATTAAAATACTTTCTAATAAAAAGATGTTCAAACACCCAAATGTTTGAATCCAAAGATGTTAGGGGGCATCTCTCAATATATCTAAATTATCATTAATATCTAAATTATCATCAATATCTAAACCAACAGCTATTATTATTTAAGGTATTACTTTATACCAAATCAAATGTCTAAGTATATTCAATTACATCGGTAATCACGACTTTATGTAAGATATCTTATAACTTACTATTAGCGAGTCATCTTTCACTTGGAAATTCTTTAACTTACATGGAGAACCGGTCTTTTTCTAGCGAGGATATCGAAAAGTGATCAACAGTTACAAATTTTTTGATATTTAAGTAATCTTCGCAATTAGTTCGTAAATTAGAGATTTTGTTTAAATTCGCATACTTCGCTCAATAATTAAATTTTAAAGAGTTTTTTTTATGTTTTAATAATTGTATTTCCGAGATTAAGTTCCTCGTGTTCGAACGTTTACAATTTAAGAAGTATTGATATCTTTATTGAGGAAAGATTTATCAATTCCAAATGAGGACTGAGAAATTGGCTGAGATGAAAGGTGGTACGCATAGTACGGTTAGGCTATTTCGGATATCTAAGTATGCATAAATAGTCAAACGGTTCCGGAATAACTCTTAGAAAAGAAAGAGAGAGAGAGCGAGAAAGAGGGAGAAAGAGACAAGTGGGACACCTAAAATACTCGATATCATTGCCGCAGGGCTGGATACGGCGACAGGTACAGCCTAAGGGTAACACTTCGAGAGAAAAAAAGGAAGAATCTCAAAGCCCACTTTCCTTTAATTTAACCGTTGGTACAGGTTTTTACAGTCCTGGTGGCCCGTTCTGGAAATGCAAAGACAGGTGGGGAGGATGGGTAGTCGACCCAATTCGCGCCGGTGTTTACGTCGGCCACGCGTTCACACGGCGGACACTTTCATTTTTGAGAGACGCGCTCGTGAGCACGGACAAGTTCACGTAGAAATCCGTCCATAGGATTTCCGTCACTTACTATGAAAGACTACAAAAACTGGCGGGCGATTGCGAGGATGAGATAATTACGCTATCGTGACGAGCTTAGAGAGAAATAAGATCAATTACTCGACGGCGAGATACCCTTTTTTCGCACGGTCGATCACAATTAGCGTATCTTTTTATCAGTAGACGTTTATCGTCCATTTATATCTGCATTAATTCTGCGAAGAAAACTACACTATATTCTTTATGCAAAGTATTAATTTTTTTGGTGAAAGTCTTTGTGTTTTCTCCGATTTTTTTATCTTTACATAAAGATCACATTGTTATCAGCGTTTCTGTTGTCGTTATTAGTGCTACTAAGCATTAATTGAATTACTCTTATAAGACATTTACTTACAAAACTAACGACACAAATTTCTTTCAGACAATATTATACGGCCTCTTTGTTATCTCCGCACTTGGAGACCCGATTAGAACAAAGAGAGAGTGAGTATATAAATTGTTGTGTGTGTGAGTATATAAATATATAAATAAAATACAAAAAATTCACATTTATAAAACTTTATGCATTAATATTATTTATAAATAAAAATATTATTATTTATACACAAAGTCATGTAATATTAGATGCAGTTAAAAGTATTTAAGTTTTTATTATATTACCGTGTACGATGGCATTCTAATGAAAGAAATGTCGTAGGCCTCCCGTGAGCTCACAGTATGGTGCACCACCAGCATCATCCTACGGAGTACCAGACGTAGGACCATCTGATTCTTATGGTCCACCACCATCAAATTCCTACGGTCCACCCTCTGACTCATATGGTGCACCTCCGTCACCGCCGTCGTCTTATGGCGCACCATCCGGACCCTCGTCATCCTATGGAGCACCGCCATCGTCATCTTACGGGGCGCCATCAGGCGCCGATCACGGATCTTTTGGAAACGATCACGGTGGAGGATCATTTGATCTAGGCGGTGGTGATCACGGCGGAGGATCTTTCGGTGGCGGTCACGGTGGAGGATCATTCGGCGGATCTTTCGGTGACGATCACGGTTCCATCGGAGGATCATTCGATGACCATCACGGAGGTGGCGGCGGTTATGGTGGTGGTGGCGGTCACGGCGGCGGTGACGGCGGTTATGGCGGTGGTGGCGGTCACGGCGGCGGTGGCGGTCACGGAGGCGGCTTCGGATCGATTTCCGATTCCTACGGGCCGCCGTCACTACCCTCCGATTCTTACGGGCCGCCGTCATCACCGTCCGATTCCTACGGTCCTCCGTCACATGATCATGGGCCGAAGGGTGTATGGAAAAAGAAGTTGGTATGGAAACCCGAATGGAAGCAGATATGGAAAACAGAATCGAAGATGATCTGGAAGCAGGAATGGAAGAAGGTACAGGTGCCGGTTTGGAAGGAGATTCAAGTACCTGCGTGGAAGGAGGTCAAGGTACCTGCCTGGAAAAAGGTCCAGAAACCTGTTTGGAAGGAAATTCAAGTGCCGGCTTGGAAGGAGATTCAAGTGCCAGCTTGGAAGAAGGTATGGAAGCCCGTTTGGAAGGAAGTCCAAGTTCCCGTGTGGAAAGAAGTCCAAGTGCCAGATTGGAAGAAAGTTTGGGTGCCAGAATGGGTTAAAATTGGCATACCGGGAGAACACCCCGTAGGCAAAGATCATCATGGTTGGCAGTATACCAGCCACGATCTCTGGAAGAAGAAATTAATATGGAAGCCAGTCTGGAAGAAGGTCTGGAAAACGGAAAAGAAGCAAATCTGGGTAAGCGACAAGAAATTAGAATGGAAAGCCGAATGGAAACAAATTTGGAAGACGGAGAAGAAGCAAATCTGGGTGTCAGACAAGAAGCTGATCTGGCAGGAAGAATCGGTGCAAGTATGGGTGCCTCAAAAGAAACAGATTTGGATCACGCAGAAGAAACAGGTGTGGAAAGACGAATGGAAAAGCAAGTGGGTTCCGGCTTGGAAGGACGTGCAGGTACCGGCTTGGAAGAAGATCTGGAAGCCCGTCTGGGAGAAAGTTTGGGTTCCCATCGAGTCTCATCACGACGATGGTCATCACGGTTACAAGTAGATCGTCGTCGAAGGTCACGTTCGGCCGGTTTGATCTTTCTTCTGCGCATGCTTGTGACATCTGAAGCTCGAAAGGTCAACTCGGAAAATTGTTGGAGAATCGTGTCAGGAAAGTCGGTCGTATCTTGTAATGCCTTGTAATAATGGATTGCTCGTCGGTAGGATATATAGGTATCTCTTGAGAGGAGAAAAGGGAAGACCGACTAAACGTGTACCGCACGAAGAAGAGGAAAGCCTGCAACTAACAGTTAGAAAGCATCGCGACTATGAGATATGCACGAAAGTGGATGATGAAAATTTTCAATTGATCATCTTGGAGGCAGCGCGACTAAATTGCGTAGCAACTAAAGTCGGTTTGTCGTAAAATGTCGCAAAAGAAACCGAAATATCGATCAAAAAATGAGATATTATCATAATGAATGTGGAGATATCGTTATCTACACTTTACAGTATATTTCCCGAGAGAGTGAGATACGTACTAATAATTGATCTTTGTCAAATAAATTTATAACCATGACGCGCATTTCTAGAGATTACACGACTTGCTAAATTAAGCTTTAAGGCAAATCATAGCCAAGAAAAAATCACGTTTATTAATTTGTTGAAAAATTATTTGTTGAAGAATAATGTTATAATCTATTTATTAGAAAAAAACATTTGTTTCTTAAAACTGTTTAATATATTTATATCATTTAAACAATAAAATGTGAATGATGGCTCAATAGAATTAAGAATTCGATTCGTCTAAGTATTAAAGGGCTATTAGGAATCAACGCTGAATATTATATGTATGTATATATATAATATATCAACGTTTAATAACTTTTACTATTTATACATGTAACAAAAAAATTGCTTTAAGTAATTTTGGATTGAATCTCTGATAATGAAAATTACATATACATAGGCAAGAAAAGTAATATTCCTTCTTTGTTTATCTTTTTTCAGTGTGAATAATCCATAGCCTTAGAACGGCCACGTGCGTATTATTATTTTGTGTAATTAATATCTTACTTTGTAAATATCGTTTGAATATTGGGATGCGTGCATGTTAATATTTTTTTATACGTTAATAAATATTATTTTATACGAATACTACACCACGAATTAATTTCATTTCCTTGTATATACTTAGATAATTATTTTTAAGAAAAGAGAATCCATGTTACATTTAAATGCATATATTTTGTAAATACGTTTAAGAATGAAAAAATTGGTTTTTACATTTAACGTTACTTAAAACAAAATTCAAATTCTTTTAATGTAAAAATACTTTAACAAAAGTTTTGTAAAGTTTTATTTTAGTTAAAAGTATTTATAATCTATCAAATAAAAAAAATTCTTTTTAAACAAATATAAATATAAACAATTAATATTATTTAGTGGTCTGTATTAAAACATAAATCTCTCTGAAGAAAAGATTTATGTAAAAACTGAGATATAAGACTTTAAATCACGATTGTCATTCTTTTTAAATATCACTGATCGTGATAATCGTACGTTTGAAAGTGCCTACTTGTATCTTTCGCAACATTTATTAAGATATTGTCCGCAAGTACGATCCAGGCTCGTCCGTGAAGCCATTAATTCACATTAGCTTATAAGAAAGTACGGTGGCTTTCATACGAAGAGATGCGCTATGCAACACGTAGAAGGGAATCAGAAGGATGACGAGGTGGAAGAGCGAGGGAAGGCATGATGCTTTCTAAGGATAAGAGGAGAATCAAGTGAGCAAGCATGTCTCTCTCAGGGTCTTCAGGGTCGCGAGACGAGCTCACGACCTTTACTTTCTCCACGATCGTGCGCTGCAACAACGTGCTATGGGGGCGAGCTACGTGAGGCTGCAAAAAAAGGAGGCTACAATCTGAGTAGTAGGGAAGGTACCGACCGGAAATGATACACGGCTGGTAAATCTTCCAAGGCAGTTTAATGAGGACGTACACAAACCCGAAAGGGGTATCGAGAGACACCAAAAGTACTTTCAATTCAGACCAGAGAGTAATCGATCAATCGGCCACACTTTCATCTTTCGGCGGCTATGATTTTGCAGATCGCCCGAAATTATTGCGAAATTACAGGCAAAACGAAACTCTCTTAAATCTCTAATACCTAAGGAGCCACTTATATAATTATACGGAATAACTATTTGAAATAAGAATTGTGAGAATAAGGAACTTCTTTTGAAAATTAAGTCTTGTTAAGAACAAAAAAATAACAAAATAATTTCTAACTTAACGTCAGATATACAATACTAACAATCGAAAATACGGTGACTAATGAGTTCCTTCGATATACGTGTCGACAAATGATTATAAATTGAATTTACAGTTAAAAGAAAATGCGCTTTTCGCCAAAATTTCGCCACTCATTCCGTGACGGTGCAATGCAGCGAAAGTGTAGCCATTCAATAAAAAGTAAAAGTAAGACATTACTGCGCCGAGAGACAATGTCGAAATCGGTCGAGAAGATGCGTATGAACTTCACAGGTGATATTACCTTCCTTATTATCACGACCTTAATTACAAATGGCATTTCTCTCTCTTTTTTTTTTACTCTCGTCAAGGGAGAGGTCATTAAAATCGCTTTCGAGCCTATAGCTTTCGCCCGCAGCGGCCCGGCAAAAAGCCTCGAGCGAGTTCTCACAGAGGCCCGGTTGTATTAGCATATAATAACGCGAGTTAAACTTGAGGAAAAGCTCCGGTTAACGGAGTTCGTAAGACTCGTTTGTAAGATCCGGAGAGTGAAAGTACTCGTGCAAGTACTTGGGAGCGGGTATATATCGCGCGCGATCACCGAGCACTCTTACAGTGCGTGTTAGATACGCGGAGGCGGATAAAGACCTCGATTTTTCCACATTTCTTCGGAGAACACACGTCTCTGTTTCTATATTTTATTACATACTTGAAGCGAGGCTGAATAGCTGAAAATGTTGTCCAATCGGTTGGATAATGAGAGAGCCATGTGTATAAAATCTCTCTCATTAAAATTTCCGATAATCTCCGAAAAATCTACAGCATGTCCGTCCTAGCTTCGGTCACGCCGATCACGCTACATGTATACTAACAAACCATAAATTAGCAACAAAACAGCAATGAAGTTGAATTGTAAATGAATCGGTGAATGCAGAAGATGCGTGACGATCCCTTGTAATTAAAATTCCTCGTAGCTCATAAAACGGCGACAATCTGTCGGAACTGTCAAGTATGTAGTTAACAACTCGCGTTTCGCGCGGGAACCTCCGGAAGATTTACGTCGTCTTAATGAGTCAATAAATTTGATCACATCAAAACACCGTGTATTAATTAACCGTGAATAGTAAACCGAATAAATTTGACTAAAATTTAGAATAACGTGAAAACTAAATCAAGAAAGTCAAAATTTGATTAAGTCGAAGATATTCCGAAACACGCATAACACGTATAACATTAATTGATACGGTTCTATAAAAGTATCGGCTGGTCCACTTGTACAGTTAAAGATTTATCTCGCGAACGGGTCTTAATTTCTCGACCTTGACTTTAGTTTAATTCGATAATGCACCGTGACCGGAGCGAGCCTTGTCCGTGAAATATGACATAAATCAAACGCTTTCGCGTAACGGGTAATCGCGAATCGTTTCCGACATAAGACCATGTCTGATCTCGCTTGGAAAGTGAAATTCGTTCAGATCTGTGCTCAGCGAAGCGTTATCTGGGTGAAATTATATATACCCAATATGATCAATGTCGTAAGCAATCATTATCTGAGTGCGTCTCTTTCATTCGTAACATCATTTCTGTCACTTTAATACGCGAAACAGGTATTCGTGATTTTTATATACGAACAATTTTAAGAGTCTTAAAATATCTGCGGATGAAAGTATGTTATATAAGATGTACAATAAAAATTTTTTTGAAGATATTGAAATGATCAGAAAAAGCGATATTATTTTGTACTATGCTTATATAATAATGACTCATAAAATAGAATGAAATTTTCTTTTAATGACTTATGAAATAAAATTAAATGATGGCTTATAAAATAAAATAAAATAAAATATTCTTCATTTAATGAATAGTCCTCATATTTTATTCCTCGTAAAATCGTACTTTTGTTGTGAAGTTTACTTCTTGTTATTTTATCTTATCGAAACAATATTTTCAGTTGCTTTTTTTATTGTTCAAATAGTACATACAAGAAATCCGCCGTCGTCGTTTAAAACTATCATCATGCTGCCATCTAGTAATATTGTTGCAAAGTCAGCTGATTCTCCTATTTGTCCAAGTGCACGTTGAAACTGCCTTTCTCTCTCTTTTAAGAAAATGTATAATTTTCAAAAAAACTTGTCAGCAATATATTTGCCAAAGTAATACTGTATTTTATTTACAATTGAGCAATTTTATTGTCAATAATAATAATTGTCAATTATAACAAGTGTTTGTAAATAAAAATGCATATAGAAATAAAAATGTTATAATAATTAATTCAAAAAATTGCATGAAAAGTAATTTAAGGATTCAAAAAAGAATTTATGAAGCTAATTAAATTTTAAAAAATTACAAAAACTGTATCCACATATTTTGAACACTATAAAATATAACATATAATCTTCCTTTAAACACTTTTCGTCTAGAATAAGAAAAAAAATTAATTTATGTACAAGAAGGGAAATTATATATGGAGGATAAGGAATAACTTTCCGCATATTATTTAATAATACAATGGATTCAAAATTCCGCAGCCTTATTTTCAGTGCTTTAATTAACGGATGCGCAAAAGACTACACTTTGCAGGTTAATCGAACAAATTTGTATGCAGATTTCACCTAGATAGGGTGCATCACTGATCACCGAGTCAGGACGAATTTCACTTTCGAACCGGGCTCGTCTCGAATGCATCGCTCGAGCGAACGATGCACCCGTAGCTCTCTACTTCCACTCATTGGGGCATCGAGTACCACGGAAGGTCGTTTGCGGGTCGGAAACCTGCTCTTGCGGCCACGTTTCTCTGGTTCCGTAGACT